TGAGATGCCAAGCAGTGAACCCAGGCTGAGGGGCTCTTGCTCTGCAAAGTGACTTGCTGCCCCTTGAGCCAGGCAGGCCAGTGGAAATGGCCTCCTTTGGCCAAGCTGCAGAACGGGCAAGCTGCTGCCAAGGAAGAATTTTGATGGCACTTTAGTCGGCGGTTGTGTCTTCTGACTCCTTACTGCAGGATTGATGCCTTCAGGGTTTCGTCATCTCAGTGCTTTTATTTGTACACTGCCAATTGTTAGCCCCCTTGAGTGTGCAATGGGGGTCGAATGGCACGATGAAAGCATTAGCAAACCAAATAAAAATGAATGAGAAGCACCACACCATGGTACGACAGCTAGCATCAGTAAAGTCTTAACATCAAGGCCCCTGACTTACCGCTGTATGGGAGCTCCTCGCTAATGGCTTCGTCCACAAGCAGCGATGTCTCATAGGTCCTAGAAGGACAGCCAGACCATTTCAGTCCCATCACACAATCCATGCCCGTTAATAGTCCAGACAGACAAAAGGGGAATTTCCACACCACACTTCCAGAAGACTCACCAGCACCGGGCCACGTTGCGAACCGTGTAGCCGCCACCTCCTAACACCAGCAGGGGGATGTTGAAACTCTTGACATATTCCACACACTCACTAGGATGCAAAGAGACAGACAGAATTTGATTAGCTGCACATTTGCTTGCGTTCATCTGCGTGTCACATACAAACCACAACTGCCCGGTGGGACTGTGAAGGGTTGCAGGCCACCTCTCTTTAATGGACTGCTAACTGCACAGTGCATACTCAATGATCAACAACACACAGATTATGCTCCACTCTAATAGGGGGACATGAATAATTTAAGGGGAAAACACCAGCACTCTAGGCAGGGGTCATTTCGTAGAAAAAGAGCTAGGGGGACTCATTAGCATAACTCATTAGCATATGCCACACCCCCTGACATCACCGGAAGTGTGTCCTCCCCACAGCCGGCGGTGACCTCCAGCGGGCACCAGCAGGGAGCTCCAGGCCCCGCCCTCCCGCACCTCACCCGGGGGGATGGTGTCCCCCCGCGTCCCCCCCCCAAATGACCCCTGACTCTAGGGCTTGTTACAGTGAAAGTTTTGTGAAGGCTGGCATTTAAGGCCCAGGAAGGTGTATAGATCATGAGTATGATATGAATTCTCTAAAGTACAAAGGAAAAATAAGCTGAGATACAATGTTTATTTACACGTTGGTATTTAAAAGAGAACTTTGAAAAACCCTTCCACTGGCTGGGGTGGGGGCTGACTCCAAGGCTAAATGAGAGAAAGGGAGTCAGAGAGAGCTGAAAAGGGAGGCTACCCAGGGGTAACTCCATCTATCGGCAATGTAAAAATCACTATTCATAACAAGTCCACACAGATCTGAAAATGATTAAACTTTAGCAAGGGGTTCAAAATAATCGTGCCTAGATATAGAAAGGCCTGGAGGAGTAAAATGGGGGGGGGGAGCCCTCCTTTCTCTGGAGGACTTCCCCCCCCCCCAATTTTTCCAGCAGAAACACTGGAAGATTCAGGGGAGCACGAGGGAAAAACCTTTTTGAAATATTTTCTCTTTTGGAATAAAAAAAACTTTGTCTTTTTTTTTACGAAGCACGTTAGTCTTCCTATATGTACAGCATGGAAAAGTGTGAGGACCTTCTCAATTTTTTCACCTAAAAATTGGGAAATTTGGGGGAACACTTGAAAAATAGAAACATCAGGAGATCCGGTTCCAGTCGCACGGAGGTTGGACGGGATCAGTCGAGCTCTTGACTGATTTCCAACCTTTTCCCCTACTTTCGGGAGGTCTTTCTTCGCTTTTTTCTCTTGGCGGGGAAAAGAACCTTCTACGAGAGACAAGGACGTCTCTCCAGCAAGGAGCGCGGTCTTGGCGGCGGAGACGAACAGCGGTTTGGCTCGGCTGTGCCAAGTTTTGCTCCAGAGCAGAAGGCGGGGGACGAACCCAGCGAGGCTCCTCCTGGCTGGGTAAATGTGTTGACTGTAACTGAGGCAGAGATTCCTCAAGAACGGAGTGCATTTAAGAGAAAATATGAACTTTATGCCAAAGTAAGTTGCTATTTTTTTCTGCTGAATTGTATCTTCTATTGAAAAGCGGAAAATTGAAAAAAAATAGCCCAGAGATAGGGTCGCTTTAAGGACCAGGAAGCGGCGAATCTGCGACTGCACCTCTCTGGACTAAGTGTAACTCTCTGTGCCGTATTTTTAAAGAGACTACAGTTCGTAGAGGAACCAGTTTCACTAAGAGACACGGCAAAAAGGATTATAAATACTATTATAAAGAGACAGCAGCCAAGAAGGTTGAAGGGACAAATTAGAGTGTTGGAAAAGGGGAAAACCGACAAGAAGGATAAAGAAAAGTGTCTTGCTGATTGGACGGTGAACTTAAGTTTGAGCAGTGAAACAACAGAGCAATGAAAGATCGGTCCTGTTGGCTTTAATAGTAAGTTTGAGTCTGAGGCAACGGAAGAAGAGGTGGAGAGAAGCATGCTATTTACAGATTAAAGACTATGTAGAGTTGCTGAGTTGTCTGATGAATTGATTGATGGATTAAGCGAGCAACTGCTTAAAATTGACTGGTATCTTGGAAAGGGTTATAATCTATAATTACATTTGCATATACTGGTATAGACCAGGGAAAATAAATATTGATTTGATTGGTTTAGTAAGGTCTAATGAAATAAGTATGATGTTGAGTTGCTGAGTTGTCTGATGAATTAATTGTTTAATGAACTGATTTGATGAATTATTTAAAAATTGATTGTTGCCTTGGAAAGGGTTATAGGAAATAATTACACTTGTACATAAGAGGAAAAACAAATATTGATTCAGCAGGTTTAGTAAGTTTCTTTCCTTCTTTCTTTCTTTTTTAAATGAATTGAGAAGGAATAAAAACAGATAGGGAAGAACAAGGAAAAAGGAATATAGGGAAAATTTCAGGGGACTTTTGTTTGTTGTGGGTCTTAAGGATCGGAGAATTTTGTAGTTGAAGAAGTCTGGGTACATATATAACACTGGACAAAAAAGGTGCTCCTTGGATTATTTGAATTGAACTGAACAATACAAAATAGAATAACTAAGAAAGAGGAAAAAGTTAAAACTACTAAGAGAGAGAAAAGGGAATCTTAGTTGGCGTAAGGTGTGCACTAGACACATAAGAACTGTCAAAGAAGTTTAAAAGAAAAGAGCCAACTTTGAGAAGTACACAGATCATTGATCATTGATTGTTAGTGAAGACTGGCTAGAATTGTGTCAGGACAAGAGTCAAAGAGAGTGGAAGAGTATTAGGGAAAAACAGAAGGGTATATAGAATGGAAAAACAAGAAAAAGGGGCAGCTGCAAGGAGGGGGTCTGTATCAATACCCAGCTCAAATCCCCCAGT